TTTATGTGTATAATTATATATTTAAATTTATTTATTTTTAATTTTAAATTAATAAATAATAATTTTTTAATAAATATATTATACAATATAATTAAAATGTATAGCACTCACTGTGCTAACAGTAGTTTAAAAAAAAAATGCATATGTTTAAAATATTACTCTAGCATTAGCTCTAATCTTTCATTCAGGCGTTTTCACAGATAGTTAGCAAACTAACCCAAGACAAACAGAAATAAGGGGCATCTTAATTTGTCCTAATAAAACGCTATTTGGTACCTGATAGATTAACCGGAAAATGCTGATTCTTCACGAGAAGATAGAAGTGATGAAGAACGGACAGCGCCGACGCCGACATAGTCCAAAGTGAAGCCACCGGAAAATTCCTCCGATTCCCCACTCGAACAGCCCAATCCATGTAAGTATCAGCTAGTAAGATGGTGACTGGTAACTGGAGCAGATCAAGGAGCTGCTCAAACGGCTCTTCCATCTTGGTAAACACTGCTTCCAAGAAAGAGGGAAAGTCCTTGGCTCGAGCAAGCTCGGATGGGATTACGTTGGGAAGCGTGCAGAAACGGACGTTGGCTGGTTTACCGTCTGAGCCAATAAAGCCGTATCACTCTTGAGTGACCACGAAGGTTATGACGATATATGTCGGATTTCTTGGAACAGAGTAGCTAGCTTGCAGAGGTTCATCATGGGGTTAATGTGACCTCTTCCAGGATAGGGTAGAGCCAGCAGGTGGCAAGTGGACGATTTGGCCGGAGGTTCCATGTGAGTTGGGCGAAGCTGTTGGGAGATGAACTGAAGAACGTTTAGACGTCGGAAAAGGAACACCACCGTATACCATGAAATACTTGGAAGAAGGAACGAAAACCAAAATTGTGTAAGAAATTAAAAACTAAAAGGACAATAATTTTAGAAAGAGTGCATTTAGATATCAATACTTAACAAAATAAATTTTTAATTTTTAGATATAATTAAATTAAATTTATAATTATTTTTAAGAATTAAAATTGATACACATTAATCTTATATTTTACTTTATAATAATTTAAATTATAAAATACTTTATATTTTTAAAAAT